CACCCGTCTAATTCTAGGCGGTGGAGGGTGGCTGTGGCTCTCTCTAGCAGTACTTGCAGGAACTCAGGACTTAAGCCCATCATGTTGACATCACTCAAATTCAGGTACCTTAGGTGGCTGGTGTTCAGGTATGACGACAGGTATGTCAAGTCGGGCTCCAAAAGCAAGCAGTTAGTTATCAAGAGAGTTACCAAGGGGGTCTTCAGGCACCTGAACACCTGGTCTAGACGGCCTTCCAGGAAGAAGAGTCCAGGTGGAGTTCCTGGAGCTGGTGCAGACTGAGCAACTGAGAGCTGAATTGGAAAACTAGCTTCTCTACTTCCTCCGCCGCCCAGGGAATGAAACAATTCACAAGATTGTGAGAGACACGGAGTCTGCTCAGGTTAACCATCTGGCCCAGGGGAGGAGCATACCTGGCCAGGGTGAACAGGTCCCAGGAGCCATTCACTTCTACCTCCTGGACACAGTCCAGCTGCACCATTTTCAGGATCTTCCGAAGATGTCCGAGTGGCATATCAACAAACTCCAGCTTCCTACAGCACAGGTGTGGCAGACCTTTTCTCTGCTTGGCACTCTTCATGAGAAAGGTGAGGAATTCATCCGGGGTGGCTTTCTGGAGGCAAAGCTCTTCTAGGAGCACTTGCACAGGGGCCAAGAGTTGCTTTTCCTCCTTCCTGGAATCGTCCACTTTTTGCCTCTTAGTCTTAGGCTGGGTGGCCTCTGGCCCCTCGAATGAGCACACAGAGGACCAGTCCCAGATTCCAGACCATATGTTCCAGAAGATGGTGTTGGCATTCACCCGTAAATCCAGCACTTTCAGTTTCCATCTCCTGGGGCGGATCTTCTGGGCAAGCAGGACATCGAGCCCATCCAGTGCAACTTTTAAGATGTCCTGGTGAGGCTGCTGAGCCTTAATCAGAGCCCCCAGGGGAAGGTGGGTGAAAGGCCAGGCCTGCACAATTGCCTTCAGAGTCTCGCTGTGTCTCCCAGCCACAGCATCTGTGAACAAGGGCAGGAAGAGTTCTGTCGGCAGTGACTCCAGAGCCGCAATGGCCCAGGCTTCCACCTGCAGCAGACTCTGGGTTACAAGGTCCAAGAGCCTGGGTGGGCCTGTGCTGTTCATGCTGATATCTGATCCAAAAGCAATCCTGATCTGTGGTTAGCACGATGGGTCTTCTAAGACCTCAGGGAGAGCAAAGGTGATGACTCCAGCGCTCCACGTCATGGGTCCCTCCTTAGCTCCTCAGCTCCTCAGAAACCTTTATACACCTTTCTGGCCACACTCTCCCTTCTTTCAACTCATAGTTGTAGGGTCTGGCAAGTCCCAAATTTGGGGTTCAGACATCAGGCTGAAGGCTTCTCAGGATTCATGTAGCTGTAGCGGCTGACAAACCCAAGTTTGGCACACCACACCACTGTCGCTGGCTCACGGGCTGCAGAGGCCAAGGAATCCAAGATCAGCAGCTAAGATGGCAGGCGGCTGGCACAAGTTCCAAGAACCGGCAGTCACTTGGTAAGGAGCTGGATGCACGATCCTGAGTGAAGACAGCCCTGCTGGAACGTCCAGCTATATATACTGGAGGCAGGGCACACCCCCAAGGAAATTCCCTTTTCAGCTCATTGGCTACTCATACCAGATCTCATCACGGAAGTGAGTACGTGATATGAAATCTCATCATGGAGGTGATTGCCTTATATTAGATCTCATCATGGAGGTTGTTGCATTATTATGTAACTGCCAAACTACCACGGATCTAACAAATGACTGAGAATCCTGGCCCAGCTAAGTTCTCACATAACCTTAACCATCACAGTCCCCCCAGTTCAAGCCTAGTTCATCAAATGACAGCCTCGGCAGCTCCCTAATGTTTTTCTCACTAATTTTCTCACTAGAAATGCCATCACCATTTGAAATAACTCCACTTGTGGAATGCTCAGAATCATCTGGATTGTCCCTGGGAATGGTCATGGTGTTTCTGGTCAGAAAATTAGTGAGAGTTTTCTGTATGGTCCTCCCCCACCCCCCGACTTGTTTCCCTGAAACATCTCACCGCTTCCTCAATCTACCTATCAACCTTAGCAAAGTGATCAGCTTTTGAGTCCATGTTTTCAAGCAACTGATTTAGTTTAGAAAACACTCCAGCTCCTCCTTTCACTGTCACACGTTTTGACAATTTCTATCCTTCCTCTTCCTCATTTCTTTCTTTCTTCTTCAACATTTCTTTCACCTTCAAAATCCATCAAGTCCTTGTCTTGGATCGAATTGTGTCCTCCCAAAATATGTGTCAACTTGACTGGGCCACGATCCCCAGAGTAGTGTGGTTGTCCTCCATTTTGTGATCAGATGTTATTATACTTGCTTTTCTAAATCATACCCTCTATGATGTTAATGAGGCAGGATTAGAGGCAGTTATTTTAATGAGGCAGGACTCAACTACAGGAGTACGTTGTATCCTGAGTCAATCTCTTTTGACCCAGAGTCCCTCCTCTGAGAAACTCCTAGACCCAGGGGAAGATTGATGATGAAGACCTTTTATCCCCAGAGCTGACAGATAGAGAAAGCCTTTCCCTGAAGCTGGCACCCTGAATTTGGACTTCTAGCCTCCTAAATTCT